CATGGTGAATGCTAAAAGTAATGATAATGGCACACATAACATTAACAGCAGAATTTCTACTAGCACCCAGTATTTACTAAGCTCTCTAAGCTCTACTTCCACATGAATGATGGTAGTGCCCACCTTACCCTCCTTCTGCCAGTGTCTCAAGGTTGTGGAGAACTCCATAGTACTTGAAACCCTTATCATTATTAACAATAGTTTAGGATTTTGTGCCAAGGCGATATTACTCAGTAGGAATTCAGTGAATATCACATCTGTAGCCTTGTTATTGTATACTCTTCTAGAATATGAAGGCTAAAAGGGTTCAAAGGCTTCTACATTACATTTTGAATGGCCCAGCACCTTTGTTCTAAAAATAAATACATGATTTAAAAATAAATAATTAAGTGGGTTCAAACCAGAGGCTTACATTGCTTTTGACAATATGCATATTTGATCAGCTGTTGAAAGAGTTGCAGTTCAGCTGTGCTGAGTTAAGATTTAGTGACAGGGGCACACAGGGATTGGACTCAAAGACAGAAACTTAGCCTTTTCCTTAGTGAGCAAGAAATGAGTATCAGACTAGCTGATAAGGATAGATAATACACAGTACTGGAAGCTTTGGATACTTTCCAGTAGGGTGGAATACTGGTATGGCCAACCTTTAGGCCACGATTCAATGAACACTAAGAACAATTGTTAAGCTCATCCTTACTTGACAAATCATGTCAGTTTATGCTTATCTTTAACTTGTGAATATTGAAGATAATAAAAATTTATGTGTGCACTTAAAATTAGGCAACAACTTTACTGTTTTGTTGAAAGGTCATCCATAATATGCTGGGGAGAAAGTAGTCTGGCCTGCCATGGCCAGGAGAAGCTGCTTTTATGTAAGGCTGCATGACAAGGTAAAAAACAGGCAAAACTTTTTGAAGAAGATTTCCTCATCCTCACTTCCCACTCCATATCCTCCCACCTTCCTAAATTACCCTTTTTACATCTCAATTGATGGAAAGACAAAGAAACCACTGTAAGTGAGCAGAACTGCAAAGTGAGGCAAAAATTGCAAGGGGCAAGACTGAGAAAAACAAGTCTAGTCCAGTCTGAATGTATGAGGCAAAATCAACAGAAGGCAGCTAAAAATGTACATTGACAATGAAGGACAAAGAGTTTTATAAGCATTATTGCCGCAGTCTGTTAAAGCATTTGCAGCAGAAAAAAGATACAAGAAAAATTGATGAGTAGAACTAATAGAAATAGAAAGGATAAAAAAAAGCAAAATTATTAACTTTTTCATAATTATTTTAAACAATGGAGCACATGCTCTTGTATTTTGAGAGTTAAGCACTTGCACACATCTTTCTCATTGTTTTGAATGAAGCTCAAGCATATGATCAAAATTCTTTGCTCGATAAGAGTATTTTTTCCGAAATGGGGCTGGAGAGCTACTTGAACAGGAATCACATTTCCAGACATACATCCAGGCCCATGTGTATGTGTGATGCTGTATTTGAAAATACTGTGTGCACATATCACACAGAGAATACTTCATGTGCTTGAAGCTTGCACCATGCTTGAGCACCCTGTTAGATTGGGGTGTGAGTGAGAAGGTAAAGGCTGCAAAGGAAAAAGGAAATACTTGTGAAAGATTTAGGCATTTCTCCAGCTTGCTATTATACTGTGGAGTACTTACTATTAATGCTGTAACTTGTTGTGTAGACATTTAAGAAAAGAATTCTGCTCACATATCTGATATGACTTTGAAATTCAGACTTCGCCATTTCCAGGTCCAGGTAACATTTTAAAAAGAATAACTGGTTTTAATGAGAAGGGATAGAATTATATCTCTTTTTCTGTGAGGAGAGAGAAGATAGAGGATAGATAGAAGAGGACTCTGACAGCAGGTAAGAAGACCTACACTAAGTTTTTAGGGAGCTGAAATATAAGCTTTAGAAAAAACTTCAAATTTAAAGATTAACTCTTCACACAGGAATGTGCTGATTCATTTATTTTTAGTAAATATAGTGAGAATATGTTTAGGTTTAGTAAATCAACATGCCAAAGGAATACCTATTTTGCAGACAGAAAATGTTAACTTATGGAGGTAATGCTATAAGGATTAAATGCCATACTTGACTAGTGCCATGGTCCTGTAGAAAATAATGAGAAATTGAGGAAAACATTAGAAGCATGAATTTCCAAGGGTTTTCCTAAGTTAAATTTATTTGAAATTGAAACAACTCAGCTACCTTTTTTACATCTGTTTTTCCTTGGGTTTCTGTAATGCCAATACCAGCACAACCTTTAAGACATGATGTACATTTTCATCTTTTTAATTATTTTTAATTTCCTTTTGTTTATAAGCTTTATATAATTATTCACTTAGTCTAGATATATACAACAAATAAAGAAGGTGCTTATGAGTCTCTTGGTCTTACACTTCCATTTGGAAGCAAGTTTACCTGAATATTAAAAACCTGTGAGGATTATCCAGATGATATCTGTATAGCACTGGTTTTCAACCTGTAGTCTGCCATCTGGGGATCTCTGGATTACTCCTGAGCAGTCTGTAAAAATTGAGGGAAGTCCCAGCTG